CAAGATTTGCAGAATATCAAATCAACAGACAGGAATTATTAGCTTTTCTAAATATCCACTCTCCCAAATGCCATCTGAAAAAACTAAAACATTAAGTAGCTAATAAATGTTTGTAAATAATATGTTTTGCTCACTTGTTAAACAAAACTAACATAGATCCTTCACCCTCAACCACAAACACATTGAACTGCTGGATAAAATATGGATAAAAAACATTCAATACTTAACAGAGCTCAAAACAAAAAAGGACATTCCCCAGAGGGGAGAACTCAGATGAAACATAGCCTCTCAGGGCTATAAGCTTGAAATTGACCCCCTACAAGCTGAGAGGAAATAGAGCACAATGTCAGTGACAGCCATAAGGACAGTTCTGGTGTGAATCGTATTCTGTGGAGGCGTGCAACAACACATTCTCCTTGAAAAAGATAAATTCTAGATAAAACCAGGTCTCTGGAAGAGCTGCCACTTCTGAAAAAGGAAAACTGAAAAAAACTATGCTCATTGGTCCTGGGAAGCCAAAAAAGGAGCTTGACATTATGAGCTTAAAAATAGAAATCAAACATGCCTTCCATAAGACATCAAAGTCTCACATCTGAACTCGGCATAGGTGGAATAAAAAATTGTATTATACATTTAGTGTGGCATTTGCCACACTGCAATATTAATATAAAAACAGGTCTTAAAAAAGCAAAAAACAAGAAACTGTTCTTAGATTAGTCAAAATTCTTGGGAATCCCAGATGAAGCAAACATTTAAACAAACGAGCAATAAAACCACAGATCAGTTTTACAACACTGTATTTATACAGTGTATATGAGAATTTATAAAATTCTCATCAGGGAAAAAAATTCCTAACAAATGTTTGCTCATTATAAGATAATTATAAGTCACATAAGGAAGTAATTAACTCTGAGACAGCCAGCAGATAATCAGGAGTATTATGACCCTAAAAACTAAGTAATAAAATGATCTGAACAATTCTTTTAAGTAAATATTTATTCATATTTACATAGACTTTGCTAAAGGAATAGATGTAGTAGCTCATATTCTAGATTGTGTACCAAACAGCTCTTTCTTCCAATTTCTTGTAGTAGGTGCTACTTTTGTTTGGATTGTAAGCAGCCACGTACTTCAGAAAATGGGCTCCTTCCCAGACTTCGGAGGCAAATTATAATTGGTATAAGTCAGCTATGGTAATTCCAACACCTTCTAATTTACGAACGATATGGCAGAAATCTGGCCAATAATACATGAGGAAAAAATTGCTATAAGCTTTTAGCAAAGTCTTCTTTGATCATACAAACGGATGTTTGAAGAGGTATCTTCCTTTCTGCTCCAGGACAACCTACATAAAGATGAGGTCCTTGGAGCTGCTGCAGTCATCTTATAACCAGAAGAGGAAGAGGTTGAGGACAAAAGCCAAATACTTAAGATTGAGAGTAGAAAGGTGGAAAGACCCTACATCCTTAATATGCCTGATCCACTGAATTGGACTTCTGGAGCTGCTTTAACTCTGAATTTTCTATGTTGTGGGATAAGCTTCTCATAGTTTTAATGATTTGCCCTTAGTCTTTTATTATTTATAGCCCAGATCAAAGCAACTGATAAATTATACTGGGAAAAAGAGGATACTATTTAAAAAAAAAAGAACAAGAACAAGCATGTTTGAACACAGTCAAATAATTTTCTAGAAATGAAAAATGTAAAAATTGACATTACAAACTTATTGAACAGGTTAAACAGCAGATTAGACCAAGCTGAAGTGACAGTAAAATAGAGGATAGATCTGAGGAATCTTGAAAAATGCAGTGTGAAATAAAAGAAATATCAAAGAGTAATAGACTGAAAGATAGAATGAAAGGTCCAATTCACATCCAAGTTCTCCAAAGGAAGAGAATAAAGAGAATGGTGGGTGAATGGAAATATTTACTTATTTAATGACGGATAATTTTCAAAAATTGATGAAACATATCAATTCTCACATGAGAGAAAAATAATGAATCTTGAGCTGGATAAACAAAAGTAATTCCTCAAAGACACATTATAGTGAAAGGGAAAACAAAAGGGGAAAACCTTGATCAGAGAGTAAAATGGAATTATTTATAATGAAAAAATACAGTGCCCTCCTTCTCAACAAATATCTTTCTGAATCCACAAACCACTGGCTTTCTTTCAAAACTCTTATTAGAACTCTGATTTTGTTCAAGCATTGGATGGAGATTTCTTGACTAAGCAGTAAAATCTAAGTCATTTCTAGCCATGATGAGGTAATAGGTCTGGTGATATATGCATAAAACATATATCTGTTATTATACATGCAAATAACTGGATTTTTAGACAACATCCAGTAGACATATCACAACTGATCCCTGAGAGAATGGAAACAAATGGAATCCATAAGCACCCTGGCTTTCTGCAGAGACACATCTTCTGCATCATGGTGGAAGGAGAGAGAACTTAAGTAGAGCACAGCAGTCTCAGTGAGGTGAACAGACAGATCAAAATCCACAGACCCGATAGTAGCTGAAATGTGTCTGGAAGGCTAACGTGGGGAAGGCAGCTATGTGCAGAAGAAGATCCAGAAATCTGCACTGCAGACCCTTAAATATCGACCAGATGCTAAGCTGTTCATGAGGGGTGTTAGACTTCACAAGGCCAGGAAAGAACCACCACTAGGGAAAGAACGACGACCAGAGTGCTGTGAGGTAAACACCTTTGCGTGGCTCAGAAGTAGAAGACATTTGAGTACTGGCCACACTGAGGAGAGAAATTTTTGGAATACCCAGAGCGTGCAATAGAGACCCAAGAAAGGACACAATTTAGGAACACGGCTAATCTGGCACCAGAGGGAGAAAAAGCAACTTTAGACTCCCCCAAGGAAATCTTAGAAGGAACACTGGGAGAGATTAAGCTAATCCTCAAGTAAATTACCCACCTTCCAAAACAAAGCTCAGTGCTCTATTAAGAAACAACAGAATCCAGATACTCAAGAAATTAGCATATATCTAGCGTAAAAAACTTCTAGACATGTGAAGAGGTAGGAAAGCTTGACTCATAATGAGGACAAATATCAACCAATGAAGAATATCTAGAAATCACAGAGATGACAGAATGAACAGCAAAGATTTTAAACAAGATCAAGGATGTTTTTGTTTTATTTTTATTTAAATTCCAGTTAACATATAGGGTAATACTAGTTTCAGGTATACAATAGGGTGATTCATACTTCCATACAACTCCCAGTGCTCATCCCAGCAAGTACTCCTTAATCCCCATCACTGATTTCACCCATCCCTCCGCCCACTTCCCCTCCGGTAACAACTCTATAGTTAAGTGTCTTCTCTTTTTTCCCTTTTACTCTTTTCTTTTGTTTCTTAAGTTCCACATGTGAGTGAAATGATACAGTATTTGTCTTTCTCTGACTGATTTCACTTAGCATTATACTCTCTGGCTCTATCCATGTTACAAAGAGTAAGATTTCATTCTTTTTAATGGTTGAGTAATATTCCATTATATATATATATCTCCCATCTTCTTTATCTGTTTGTCAATCAGTAAACACTTGGGCTGCTTCCATATCTTGGCTATTGTAGAGAATGCTGCTATAAACATAGGGGTGCTTGTATCCCTTTGAATTAGTGCTTTTGTATTCTTTGGGTAAATACCTGGTAGGGCAATTGCTGGGTTATAGGGTATTTCTATTTTTAACTTTATGAGGAAACTCCATACTTTTTTTTTTTTTTCAGAGTGGCTGCACTAGTTTGCTTTCCCACCAACAGCACACATGCGTTCTTTTTCCTCCACATCCTCACCAACACCTGTTGTTTCTTGTGTTGTTAATTTTAGCCATTTTGACAGGTGTGTGGTGATATCTCATTGTAGTTTTGATTTTCATTTCCCTGATGGTAAGTGGTGATGAGCATCTTCTCCTTTGTCTGTTGGTCGCCTGTATAGCTTCTTTGAGGAACAACATTAAGGTTTTAAAGGAAAACATAATGAGGGGATAAATGCAGAAAGCAAGAGAAATGAAAACAAACGGTTTATTAAAAAAAAAAAACCAGAAAGTTCTAGAACTGAAAACCAGGATAAGAAACTTAAAAATTACTGACATATTGGATACTGCAAATGAAAAAAATCAGTGAAATGGAAGACTTGTCAATATACACTATCCAAAATAAAGCATACAGAGAGAAAAGAAGAGGTAAAAGGTAAGTTAACAGAACCTCTGTGACCTGTGAGAAAATATAAGTAGTCTAAGATATGTGTAAGTAGAGTCCCAAAGGAAAGAGGATGTGGAAAAAAACTTTGAAGAAATAATGGTTGAATAATATATGTCCAAATATATACTCAATATATACCCCAAAAGTTTGATGAACCTCAAGCAGGATAAACATGAAGTAAACTACATCAAGGCACATGATAGTCAAATTGCTGAGGACCAGTGATAAACTGAAAATCCTAAAAGTAAGTAGAGGAAATATTTTGCCTTTCTACTCTTCTTAATTTTAGTATGGTCCAATAATCTGTGTTTTCATTTATAAACTGTAATTTTTACCCAACCTTAAGCTCATGAAGCTGTATTTAAAAAAAAAATTATAGTTTTACTTTTGAGATCTAGATCTTCATTTAGAATTAATTTTTCATATGATATAGTGGCCAAGATTTGTTTTTCACATGTATTTTGGCTCCTCACTATTTATTGAAAAGTCTACCTTTTGTCATAAATCATGTGACCATATTTGCGTGGGTCTGTTTCTTTCTATTTGTGTGCCACACTCTTTTTGTTACTGTAATTTTATAATAAGGCTTGATATCTGATGGAGCAGGGATACCAGGAGATTATTAAAAGACTGTTGCAGTAGGACTGGAAGTATTGATGGGAAGACAGCATAGTGGTTGCTGTGGTGTGCCACCAAGACACCCCCGTTAGGACTGAGGAGGTATTCTCCCAGATACTGAGAATGTTGGTACATGATGACTCTCATTTGGATCCTCTCTAGAAATTGCCATCTGTCAAAGAAAGCCTGCTGGGATCAATGTAACACCACTCCCCAAGGGCAGCTTGCTTCCCTTGGTACAACCACAGCAATCAATGCTGAGATCCAAAGTCTAGTGCCCTTGCGTCCAGGCCAAAGGCAAGCACCATTCCAGTTCCAGAACTCCCAAGACCTTTGTTGCAACTCCATTTCAACTCAGTCCTCCTTCTCCAAACTCTACTTCCTTTTATCCTTTACTACTTTTTATCCCCAAAGAATTCCCTAGTAAATTTTCTGCATGCAAATTTCCACCTCAGAATCAGTTCCCAAGGAACTTAACTCAGGCCACATGGGCCAGTATAAAAGAAATAGAGGTGTTGAAGAGTGAAGAATTTTAGGGGTGCCTGGGTGGCTCAGAGGGTTAAGCCTCTGCCTTTGGCTTAGGTCATGGTCTCAGGTTCTTGGGATCTTGGGATCGAGCCCCACATTGGGTTTTCTGCTCAGCAGGGAGCCTGCTTCCCCCTCTCTCTCTGCCTGTCTGTCTGCCTACCTGTGATCTCTGTCAAATAGATAAATTTTAAAAAATCTTTTAAAAAAGAGTGAAGAATTTTAGTTATATATTTAAAGCAGTGCCAGTATGATTCCCCAATGGATTTGTTGTAGGATGTGAGGGAAGGAGAATAGATAAGGTAGATTCCAAATATGAGGCTGAGAAATTAAGTAAATGGAGGTGCCATTTATCAAGTAGGAGAATCACCGGGAGAGGAGAGTGTGTGAATTCTATCTAAGAATTAGTTATTGGACATTTTGGGGTCTCTGAGTTGCTTAGTCATTTGAGTGTCTGACTCCTGGTTTTGGCTCTGCCTCTACCCACTCTCATGCTCTCTTTCTCTCTAAAATAAATGAATGCATTTTTTAAAAACTTAGGTATTGAACATTCTAATAAGATACCTATCAGATATTCAAGAGAAATCTGAAAGATATAGTCGGATAAATAAGTCTGGACATCAGGGAAGAGTTTGGGATAGGCTTTACAGCATTTAGCATGTTGTAGAAAAATTTAGAAGTCTTTCTAAGGCAAACAACATTTTAACTGATTAAAGAAAAAAGAACTGTATGATCATCTTTATATGATACAGGGAAAAATTATTCATTAAAATCCAATTTCCACTCATAGTTAAAAACTTTGCAAACTGAGAAGGGAATTTCCTTATACTTAATGGACAAAGTTATGTACCAAAATATCACAGCAAACATTAGTCTTTTTCTTTTTTAATTTTTTTTTAAATTTTTTATTAACATATATATTATTAGCCCCAGGGGTACAGGTCTGTGAAGCACCAGGTTTACACACAGTCTTTTTCTTTTTAAAGATTTTATTTTTAAGTAATGTCTACATCCAATTTAGGGCTTGAACTTAAAACCCCTAGATTAAGAGTCATGTGCTTTACTGACTGAGCCAGACAGGCACCCCCAAACATCAGTTTTAATAGGGAAAATGTAGATGAGTCCTCCTTAAAATCAGGCATGAGACAGGGTATCAAATTTTATCACTCTGTCATAATTACACAAAAAGAGCCTATGCAATAAGATAAATAGAGTAAGAGGAGTAAGAATTGAAAGTAAATTAATAAGAGGTTTGGCTATGTGTGTAACAGAAATTTTTAAAATAATCACTTTGAATAAGATAGGATGTTATTTTTCTCTCATGTAAAAGGAATTCAGAGATGGGTCATCCAGGGCTGGTATGGTCCACCACCAAGATATCTTCTGACTTTGTGTTTTGCCATCCTGAGTGCTTAATTTTCAGTCTTAGCCTTCCTCCGTGTTCCAGGTGCTTCCTTGAAATCTAACAGTAATGTCTATATTTCAGGCAATAGGAAGAAAGGAGGTGAGAGGATAAAAAAGGTGTACCAAGCCATTTGTCCTTATTTGAAGGGTCTGTCCCAGAAATCGTATACATCAGTTTCTACATATAGTCACATGACTGTAGCAAGCAGCAAGAGAGGTGCTTTTGTTTTTAAGTTTTATTTATTTAAGTAATCTCTACATCCCATGTGGGGCTTAAACTCATGGATCAGAGATCAAGAGTCCTATGCTTTTTTGACTGATCCAACCAGAAGACCCAAGTTTTTTATTTTAGTTGAAACTATTGCTCTCCTAAAAAGTACTTGCTTCTATTCAGGAAGATGGGAGAAATGTGTATTGGGAATTTCTGGATGTTGACTCAAATTCATTCTCACTTTGTTTCTTAGCACATGACCATCTAGCTAAAGGCTAGTTTACTAGCTTCCCTTATTGCCCATGTGGACTCATGGCTAAGTTCTGGCTTTTGGAATTGGAGTAAAATTGGTATATGTAGTGTCGGCCTCACTAAAAAGAAAATCTCTTGCCCTAGTTATTCCTTTCCCCCTTCCTGTGAGCTGTAATATGGACCTGCAACAACCCAGCTTTGAATATCCATTTGAAGATGATTTCTTAGGGATGGAAGAGAATCAACATTGAAGGAAAATTAACTTTCCACATGAGAAGAAATGATACCAGATCCCTTACCTTACACCATAAATATCAATGCCAGATGGATCAAAGACATAAATGTGATAAAACAAAGCTTCAAAAACTTTTAGGAGGGATGCCTGGGTGGCTCAGTTGGTGAAGCATCTGTCTGCCTTCAGCTCAGGTCATGATCCCAGGGTCCAGGGATTTAATCCCACATCAGGATCCCTGCTTGGCAGGGTGTCTGCTTCTCCCTCTATCACTCCCCCATGCTTGTGCACACTCTCTCTCTTTCTCTCTCTCATAAAAATAAATAAATAAAATCTTTAAAAAACCAAACTTTTAAGAAAAAAATCTATAGTCTCCAGATCAGAAGGAATTTCAGCATTTTGTACTGCTACTCCTTTCTAATTGCTGGATGGGACACTGTCTGATTTAAGAATCACTAAATAAAGTCAATTAGAACTTCAAATAAAGGGGCACCTGGGTGGCTCAGTGGGTTAAAGCCGCTGCCTTCGGCTCGGGTCATGATCCCAGGGTCCTGGGATCGAGCCCCGCATCGGGCTCTCTGCTCAGCAGGGGCCTGCTTCCTCCTCTCTCTCTGCCTGCCTCTCTGCCTACTTGTAATCTCTGTCTGTCAAATAAATAAATAAATAAAATCTTTAAAAAAAAAAAAAAGAACTTCAAATAAAAAAAATGAGACACAGAAACAAATCATAAAGGAAAAGATTGAAAATGTCAACACTAAACTTCGAAACTACTCAATGATAAAGGAAAATAGAAACATTTAAAAGATAAGATAAGCCTGTGGTAAACTAATATACAAACTGTTCCTACTCATTGCTAAGAAAACTACACAATGCAATCAAAATATGGACAAACATTTGTAAACCAATTTTGAAAAGAGGAAATTCTAATTGGCCAAGAAACAGACAAAATCAGCTCAGACTTGCTGTTCATCAGGGAAATTCCAATTAAAACAACAAGGTATTTTTCCTCATACCAACAAAGATTGTAAACTTTTGATTCTACCACAGAAAAAGAGAAGACTTACTACCTATAAAAAGGGAAATTGATGAATAAACTGGAGTAGATTTGTGCTATAAAATATGCAATTACTAAGAGAGTATCTATGTATTTGGAAAGAAGTCTCTAATATATATATATATTTTTTTTAAATATGTTTTTTAAAGATTTTATTCATTTATTTTAGAGAGAGAGAGAGAGAGACAGCACATGAGTGGAGGAAGGCACAAAGGAAGATAGAGAAAGAATCTCAAGCAGACTGTGCTCAGCACAAGCCTGATGGGGCAGCTTGATCGCATAACCCAGAGATCATGACCTGAGCTGAAACCAAGCGTCAAATGCTTAACCAGCTGAGCCACCCAGGCGCCCTAAAATCTCTAATATTTTTAAATGAAAAAAATCCTGTCTTAGGATAATAAGGATAGTGTAATCTCATATTTATAAAAATGGAATAATCCTGTCCCTTGTAAGCAAGCTAGTCCTTATAAGTGCATGTAAAATGGACACATTTATTGATAGTAAGTGGGTCCACTTATTAAGGTAATTCCCACATTCCAACACGGGAGCTTTCAGGAGAGCAATGTTCTTTCTGCCATTGGCACTGCTGTCCCATTTACTTGTTTTCCATTTTTTACAAAAGTCTAATATGCAAGTTTGGCTTTTGTAGTAATACCATTCCCCAAGGACACAGTGATAAGAAGATGAGGCCTTAGCAAAGAGACGTGCACAAGCTTGAAAGTTCTTACTGCTTCTTTAACACCTATATGAATTTTCCTGAAAGCTTTCAAGAACATTCATATCCAGATCTTTAGAATCTTGAATCTGCTGAGAATTTTGTTCACAAAACCACTTTGTTTTTGTGCTGAGGTTGGGATAAACCATTATTCAGGAAGTTTTCAAAAGAAGCTATTAAATTTGAGACAGAGTCTGGTATGTGGCCAAATCACTTTCTTTCTTTTCTTTCTTTCTTTCTTTTTTTTTTTTTTTTTTTGGTTATATCATCTTTTATTTATTTATTTATTATTTCTTTTCAGCGTAACAGTATTCATTGTTTTTGCACCACACCCAGTGCTCCATGCAATACGTGCCCTCCTTAATACCCACCACCTGGTTCCCCCAACCTCCCACCCCCTGCCCCTTCAAAACCCTCAGGTTGTTTTTCAGAGTACATAGTCTCTCATGGTTCACCTCCCCTTCCAATTTCCCTCAACTCCCTTCTCCTCTCTAACTCCCCTTGTCCTCCATGCTATTTGTTATGCTCCACAAATAAGTGAAACCATATGATAATTGACTCTCTCTGCTTGACTTATTTCACTCAGCATAATCTCTTCCAGTCCCATCCATGTTGCTACAAAACTTGTGTATTCATCCTTTCTGATGGAGGCATAATGCTCCATAGTGTATATGGACCACATCTTCCTTAATCCATTTGTCCGCTGAAGGGCATCTTGGTTCTTTCCAGTTTGGCCAAGTCACTTTCTATCAAACGTTTGATACTTGAGTAGTAACATTAACTGATTCATGCCATTAGGATGCTATTATTTAGTGCACCAGTAATGGGCCAAATTATTCTCAGTGTAATGC